CTTGCGTAATCATGCTGCGATGATCTTGCCCTTTTATTGTTTCAAGTCATTTATCTCTACCTATTGTATAAGAAGGAAGAGGTAATCCTTGAGCACGATGGTTTGTCAATTTGACCACAACATTCGTATTTATTGTGTACGTGCTTGCAGTTGTCTAGGTCTGTAAATTTTGGAGGATGCAAATTTTCCTTCCATTCAGTACATATTAGGTGAGTGTCTGTAGTTAGTATATCGGAATACAATTTTTTCTCTCTTATGAACATATGTTGATGTAGAGAGGTGATTATTGGGTAAGTGGTCTTCCTGGGATGGGTTATTCTGAAAGCGAATGTTTAGAGAATGTTGAAGAAGGTTTATGTTAAAAATGTAATCTTAGCAAAAGAACACAAGGGTTGCTCGCGGGAAAACGTTAATTTGGAAGCTGCTGTATTGCTTGGATGTTCTATTAAGAAATATGACTCCTTGCTACTAGCAATTTCTTGATTCTTAGGCACTCACTATTTGGGTTTTTCTTTTTTTGGTTTGGAATCCAAGTTCTTATGTAGTTTCCCATTTTCTGAGGACCATTTGCTGATTCACTTTCTGATTTACTGAAACTGTTCATCTTTTTTGTTATTGCTGAATATCGTGACCCTCCCCCCGTCCCTGAGAGGCGGATCAAAGAACAGGACCTTATATGATTCTATAATGCAGTAATGTTACAAAATATCTTTTTGCATTTGACTCAGGGCCAAAGATGTTGCATTCCAGTTATGGTCTACTAGACAGTTTTTCTTCCCCTAAAAATGTGTGCATCTGGCACAATTCATATATCCAGGACACTGTGGTCTTCAAAACAGCCACTGCGACTCTGAAAGTTTGCAAGTTCCAGTGCCGAATGGTGAAATACCTTATAAGGAAAGATTAAAAGGCTGGTTATGGGTGTTTATAAGGAATTTGATGAAATTACCGAAAGGACGAGTGATTGAAATATTTAGATAAGGCTTCTGGAAGGTGGATTTCTATCTTCTGAATTTTCAACTACTGTAGCCTTTCCAGTCTTGCTTAAAGTTCTTTTCCAAATCAATTAAACCAATATCTTGACTTCTCACTTTAAGCAGCATTAGATTTCTCCAATCCTTTGCTGATCCAAAGTCCTCGAAGGACGCCAACTACTCTATAGCTACATCTTGTTCTGACAGACCCAATCCCCACTTTTTTTTGGCCTTTTTTATTCCTCCTCCTTCATGAAGATGGATTCAGCTCTTATTTGGTGAGTTTTTACCTCATTCCTTACTTTCTTCAACCAATGGTATGGAAAAGGAATTTTCTTTTTAGTCTGTTAGCAGAATGTTTTCTTCTATGTGGGGGTTGAGGACCTTGAGGTTGAAAAGTGTTTAATGCCAAAGTTGAGTTTTTACAAATTGGTTTTCTGTGGAACTAGATGAGGAGGATTCAGGATATGAATTTAAGAGAATGTTGAGGAGAGAGGGCTTTTGTTAAAAATGTCATCTTTAGGGTTAAGAAACTCATGGATTGCTGCAGCTCTTGGAGAAATGTTAATTTAGAAGCCGTTGTATTGGGTGGGCATACTATTGAGAAATGTGGAACCTTGCTTCTTGCTATTTCTTAAGACTTGAACATTCATTATTAAAGTTCTTGTTGGTTTGAAATCCCAATCCTCTCATTTCCAAAAGAGAAATCCAGTCCTTTGTGTTGCCATTTTCTAAGGGCCATGTACTGATCCTTTTTTCTGGCTTTTTAATGTTTTAGTTTGCTTCTTATAACAACAATCAGCATGGAAAAGCTTCTAGATGAGTATTCCTGCCAAGCTGAAAGAGTTGATTAACGCTGATGTTCAACAAAATGTTCTTTCAATTGAACTCTTGTTTGACTTAACACCCTTCTGGTTAAGTGTTTGAGAATTCTACTTGCTTAAAGCTTTAGCACACTGTGCTGAGAAGATCCTTGGTTTTTTTATTGTTTCCAGTCAGTTATATCTACGTATTGAATAAAAAGAAAGAGAAAATGATTAAGCATGATGGTTTGTCAATTTGGCTGCAGGATTAGTATATGTTGTATATGCTCTTGCAGTCTTCTGGGTCGCATAAGATAGAGCTGCTTGGTTATTTCGGCTCCAATTACTGAAACCGTTGGTCTTTTTCTTGTTGCATACAGTCCCTGATAATGGATGAATTACATTGCCTTATATGATTCCATAATCCAATAGTAATTTGCATGGTCAGATTATCCCTGGTGCAGTGAATTTCAGAGGATTTTATGTTCATATCCCATTCAGCCGATATTAGGTGAGTGTCCCAATCCTTGGTTTCTTTCACTTAATTAGTATGAGTTGCAATTTTTTTCTCTTTGATGAACTGAAATCATATATTTGTATGGAAAAGGAAATGGTACTATTTGAGAGTGGTGTATGTGGGGTAACTACTGTTTCTCTTTGCAGAATGCTTTCTTTTCTTTTGTTTGGGGGCTAAGGGTGAGAAATGTTTACCGACAAAATTGTGTTTTCAGGGGAAAAGTATAGAAAGGTATCTTAAAACTGGGTTTTCAAGGAGGACTTATTCATAAAGTGAATTTTAGAGAATTTTGAAGAGGGTTTATAATTAAAATGTCATCTTAGCGAAGGAAGGCAAGGGTTGGTCTTGGGGAAATGTTAATTTGGGAGCTGCTGTATTGCTTGGATTTACTATTTAGAAATATGGCATCTTGCTTCTCACAGTTCCTTGAAAATTAGGCACTCATGATTGAGGTTATTCTTCTTGATTTGGGATCCAATTTCTGGTATTCTGAAACTGTTTATCCTTTTTTTATTGCAGAATATCGGGGCCCTTTTCCCAGTCCCTGAGGGGTATCAATGGACAGGACCTTATATGATTCTATGATTCAGTAATTGTATGCAATATCCTTTTCGGATTCAGCAAATGCGACCAAAGACTGTTTCACCCCAGTTATGGTCTACTTGATAGTTTTTTCTTGCAACAAAATTCTGTGCATATCTGCGCATGATATCAATGGCACAGAATATCCAGAGTCCAGGCCACCAACTACAAATAGGCTGTGGCAATTCTGAAAGTCGCAAGGTCCTTTCCTTTGTCAAATGGTGAAATGCCAAATGAGGAGAGCTAGCACAAGTGAAATGCTGTCGAATGAATTTGATGAAATGATAGAGAGGTGGAGTGACTGAAGTATTTAATAGAGGCTTCTGGACATGGAATTCTACCTTCTGAATCATGTACAATTGAGGGGTAGACTGTAGTCTCAATTTCCATTTACAGGGAGACAGCCTTTCCACTCTTGCAGGATGCATTACATTTCTCTACTCCTGTGTTGATCAATAGGATCTCCAAGGAGGCCAACTTAATTGCCACATCTTGTATTGTATCTGGCCTTCTTCATTCTTCCCCACCTTCAACCACAAGCCACGTCAACCTGTCTGTTAGTGCACGATACCTATTTCCGAGGCATTATCAGTGTTCCTTTCTACGACCATCATGAAAATTTACTTACGACGCCATTTTTGCTGGTTTCTTTCCCATAGATTGTACTGACAATCTCTTGACATTTATGATGAAATGCTGATGCCTGGGTTTTCTAACAATGAGTTACTTTCCCTGGTGTCATTAAAACTTGTTGCAATGTTATGGACGTTGAGGAGATTCTTTCCTTGGTATTTAATGTCGGAGGTTGGAGGGTGATCTCTGTGCATTGATGATATCTATCTGAAAGAGGGGTGTAATGAAGCGGTAAGCGTGGTGGATGAATCGCCCAATAGAGATGGTGTTGTAACTTGGAATTCCATGATTAATGGTTCGCTGCAGTTGGGAAGCTTGATAAAACAATGGATGTTCCTAAGCGGGTCTCTGGAAATGGAGTTGATCCCAATAAGTACAGCATTACGGAATTTTATCTGTTCCTGAAAAATGATTAGTGATATTAATGACGGGAAATGATTGGTGAAGGACATTTTTTTCCTGGAAATCTGTGATACGTGCCTGCGTGAAGTGTGAACCCTTTGGCAAGCATGAAGGAACATTAATACTTTTTTTAAGTAGACGCTGCATCTATACTTAGGATTCCTGCTCTTGTACATTATTTGCAATCACTAGACAGTTAGTTGTTGTACAGTTTTCGCAACCCTGGGGCAGGGTTTATCATTTGTTTCATTTGGTTCTTTAATTTTCCACATGCTGATGTTCTAATGGTTGTTTGTGACTTCATTTGGTTACTTCTCCTCCACAAGTGTTTTCTAGCCACTGCAGGTGAGTGTGTTTGGTGATGTCTTTTGAATTCTCAGTTGATGTTTCTTTGGTAAAAAAAGAGTTTCTTTTATTGTTATGACATATGATGGACAAGAAGCATCGCTGATTCGATAATGGAAGTCTGATTCAAAATCCAACACAAAGTGAAGAACTGGTCAAAAAGATAAAAGAACAAATGGTATCTATTGTTTGGTTCCTCCAAATGGAAAGAGACCATTTGGTAGATCCTATAAATAAATGGTTGGTTCAAAAGTTTTGCATTTGAATAAAGATATGTGTAGCTATCAAGTATGATTGCGACATATAATAATTCATACTCCCTCCGACCCATAATTATTGTCCAGTTTGAGTTTTCATTATGGGACGGAGTGAGTATAACAATCTCATAGATTGGGACTAAAGGACTGCTTTTTTTGTTTGTGGCTGGATTTTCTCATTGAAGGGAGAAAAGGTAGAGATGAATCATGAATGCATTGATGGAGATTTATTAGTTACTTTTACTTATATATCAGTTCAGGTAAATCAATTCTGCAAGATTACTGTGGTAAAAAAGAGAAAAATTAATAATTAATAATATGGCTCCAAAAGGATCTGCACTCAAGAATAAATAATCCTTATTCCCCCAAACCCAAAACCCTAATCCCCTGTAGCTTACTCCCCATAATTTCTGCAGCCGTCACATCCATAGTCATGTAGAGCTTTCTTTCATTGCTGGAGCTTCAATGCTCGTATTTTTCTGCACTAATGGAACTGGTGAGTTTTTATTGTATTTTTCATATTTTGTTTACATAGATCAATCAATTTTGAATTTCTATGCAATTCTTAGATCTGTCTTTGGACCTAGAATGAGAATCTCATCTACTTTTTCTTGTCATGTTCGACGTATTTGTATTGGAACTACAAATGGATTTATTTCTCAGTTCAGTAACCGTAGATATGAGAAGTCATTGATTATCACATGGTGAATTCTAATCCTCTTTCTTAATCTGTTTGTGATTCTTTAAGTACGGCTAATCACATTAAATTTTAATTATGCAGATTGTTGGATTTTTTATTTCTTTTTCTGTTGGAGAAATCTATTTTCATTAGGTATATATGTGTGTGCAATTTGTAAGAGGTGATTTTCTGTGTGTATATGTGCACCTGAGAGGAGAACCACGTTTTTTTATTTGTCATGTTGGATTTATTTCTCTGCACATCTGATGGATTGGAACAATAGGATGATTGACATCTCATTGTAGATGCATAAAATAAAAAGTAAATGTCTTTGATTCTCCCCTATTTAACTTTTGATAGCTGCTAAATTGAATTGTGTTGTTGTGTGGCTTATGTGAATGATAAGTTGTAAAGAGCTTTATGAAGTATGACTTAGATCCTTAGAACTATTTTCAAGTAGGAGCCAAACAAATTCGTTATGAATATGTAGGAAGTCATTTGGTATTTGATACTGGAGTCTTGGTTTGTTTGTTGTGCCAGATGCATATATCAGTAGACCTGGGGCTTCAAGATCTGCTAGGAAGAATCATGATGTTTGAGACAGAGGATGATCAGTTTGGTCTTCTTGAATTTTTATCTCCTTTGTTAGCAATTGAAGTTGTGGAGTTCAACAGCAAGACAAGATTCATTAAGGATCAGCTCATTGGCAGATCAAAGAAATTGCAAACCGTAAGTGTTGGGTTCATTTCTGGATTTGGTAAGACAACTTATATTGATTGAGTTTAAGGTTTTCACTTCGTTCAGCACCGTTTGCAAGATTGCCATTTTGAAGACTTCAAAATCAAGAAAAACAGCTTTGGGCTAGACGTTATTGTGGTGGATTGCTGTTGTTTGTATTTCTGCATCCAGGTAGATAACTTTGGTCAAAGCATTGTTCATGTGTGTTGCATTCCTGTGCATGACGAGCGTAGGGATGACGACTTTGACTAAAAGACTATCATGGCAGAATACTTATATGAGCAATTTAAGATTTGAAAAGATAACTCTGGCTAAAATCATTCAGTGCCGTTTTCATGTTTAATCATGGAGATAACCGCTCTACAAGAGGCAAAGAGCGTAGGTTTTTTTATTTTAACTATACGGACTGGATTTTGGCATAAGGGGTTATGGTAGCTGTTAAGCATTCACAACCAAGATCAGTCCAGAATGTAATTAATCACGTGATTGCCACTGTTTCTGGAAGGTTGTTGAGTTCTGTGAAGCGTTGCTGAGTAATGTGAAAAGGAAATGGTTGCTAAGTGATTGTACAAAAATGAGGACATATGTATTACAATTGATAGCTGACACTCTTCTCTTCTCGTAGAGAGATGAGACTTGTCATGGGGCGAGATGATAAAGTGACTGGCTCTCACCTGTATCGCATGAATGGTAAGATAGTAATGATTAAGGGGAAAAATTAGCTAATGGATTTGGATTTAATCTAGGTATCATTGGTTGTACGCGAGAAAACATATGGAAGATCAATTCAGCTCAATAGCCAATAAATCGAAACCTAAATATTCAAAATATTATCTTTGGTCTGTTGACGAAATTTCATGTTGGGCCGATAAAATAGTGTATCTGATTATTATATCGAATGTTATTGATGGTGATGGTTTAGTAACTGTATGATAGATTTAATGGGTGGAAGTTATTCTAGAATGACCGAAGAAAATTAAGACTTGCGTATATTTGGATTTTGTGTAAAATAGAAACCACCGCAATTTTCTATTGTCTGATAAAGGAGAAAAGATTTGCTTCGTGGAATAATATGTTGGATATTGAAGCATGAAATGAGTTGGATGACTAAAGAAAGAGAATATGCACGAGCATATCACCTAGTCAACTCTATAAGGACGAGATTATAGAGTTATTGTGTGGAAGAAAATTTTCCATGATAATTGGAGGCCTGTATTATGTAACTTGGGTATCTAAATTGTTGAAAGTGTAAAGAACTACGCTCTAGAAATTGTTGAAAGTATCTTTTGTTTGCTACTGTAGGACCATATATATATGTCATTTTGTTCTGACGTGAAGTCTAAATAAAGCTGTTAGTGAGTTGTGAGTTGTGACAATTTATTTGATGATGTAGTGGATCAAAAAATAAATAAATAATAAATATATGAATTCTCGATTTTGCACCACTACATCAATCGTGTTTGACACTTGAATGAAATCAATCGTGTTCGAATCTAGATTGCAGAAGAAAGACAATTGAACCCAATTCTTAACTTGAATAATAATGGAAATTTAAACATTAGTAAAAATTCAAATAGATTTTGAAGCATTGAACATTTGACCACCAAATCCGTCAACCGGGAGTAGTGATTTACCTCCTACTCCGTCCCAAAAACAAACTGTCATTCAGTTTGTTAGAACTAACACTCCCTTCGCCCCACAAAAATAGTCAACATTGAGTTTTGAGTTTTGTACTATTATTTTTAGTACAAATTTGAAAACTCAACACGGACTATTTTTTTAGAACGGAGGTAGTACAATATAACGAAGTAGACTATTTTTCGATGAAAGGATGTTGGAAAAGTGAGTTTATCATCGTCCATTTCCAAACCAACTGGAAAACGAATGTAACACCGGAGCCAATGTGACATGCTGATCCAATGAAGAAAAACTTCTTAAATCAGCAGCAAATTCGCGTTATACGATAGGATGTACCAAGTCACGCGAACACTTGAACTTCATCCATTGATCTTCGCGTATCTGATTGCGCTTTTCCTTCTGAGTTGTGCCACAATGTGTTTCTATTTCCCTGAATGAAGATTATAGACCTTCATGAATCATGAAACCATTTTGTTCACATCATCAGCCAAATCTTTAAAAGGCATTAAGCAAAAAAGCGCAATACAACGCAGAAGAGAATCATAATTTGCTTCCACTTATTCAGAGTTGTGTTCATCAATACTACCACAAACATATGCTTATGTAATGAAAGACTCATTCTTTTAGCCAAACTTGATGGATATAACATATTAACATGTGCACTGTATGTATCACCTTCATTATTTCTTGTTAATATTTACCGTTTTCATTTTCATTGCTTCAATTTTAATATATATTGTAACAAATAATAATGTCATATTTAAGCATTTTTCAACAACGTCTAGGCCTTTAGGCCCCGTTTGTTGCAATTTAGGAAAAGAAGGATACTTCGTATTGTAAACCTATTTATTATGAAATTAAGCTTAAAAATTGCCACAAAACCATGCCAATACAATATTTTGCTCCCAAAATTTTTTTTTTAAAAAAAAAAAAGAAGAAAAACAAAAATCTCAGTTTAATCAGACCCTAACAAACGACGTTCCAGTAGTCTTTCATTAGACTGATGAATTAGATTGTTTGGTCTTATTATTGTTGTCCCACATCGGCATTTTACAAAGAAGGAACTCACTATATAACTTTCGGATTCAGCAGAGTACGGCACGACCTTACTTGAACAGGATCTGATCTATAGTATCGTACCTCTGTATCCTTGAGTTCTAAGGAGACAGGAAATCAAGTCTGGTAGATGAATCATTCCCACTTGACCAGAGCGTGATTAACAGCTCTCCACGCCCTTCCGGGCCGGAGCCGCCGTAGAGGATCGTTCTCAGCCCGTGCTCCGGCCGGTCTGGGGTGGTCTTGTGGGTGTCTGACAGACCCTTAACCCCCCTTTTTTGCTCCGGCGAGCTGGGCTGAATCTTCCAGTTACATGCCCTTTTTCCCGATTCTTCTTTTCTTATGAACATCAATGGAACGATGATGAGAGTCAATTCCGGTGGAGGCAAATTTACCTTTGTTCCGCTCATATTAAGTGAGTATTTCATTTATTTAGTTTCTTCAACTTCATTTATATTAGCCCTCTTTTTCCTTTTTTTTTTTTTCTTTTTCCTGTAAAACTGAAATTTTATGAGAAAGGAATTGACTGCTATTGAGGTGAGGTGAATGCTGGATAGTTTGCAGAATTTTTGTCTAGTTTGGGGCTAAGGGCGAGCAGGGTGTTCTGCCAAAATCGTATTCTTAGTGGAGAAAGGCATATCATAAATGATAAAACTGGTTTTCTATGCAAAAGATGAGTAGGGATTATTCAGAAACTGTACCTTAGAAATTTCTGGGGACGATTTATTTTAAAGATCCCAACTTTAGGAGAAAGGGAAGACGGGGTCCTCTTGGAGAAATGTTAATTTGGAAGCTGACGTATTGCTTGGATTTACTATTGAGAGATATGGCACCTTGCTTCTAGCATTTTCTTGATACTTAGGCACTCATGATTTGGGTTCTACTTGATTTGAAATCCAATATCTTTTGTTTTTGGATATTTTTCTGAATGTCATTACTGATTTATTTTCTGGTTTTCTGAAATTGTTTAATCCTTTTTGTTATTGCAAAATATTGTGACCCTCCTCCCCCTGTTCCTGAGTTGGATCAAAGGGAAGGAGAAGGACCATACATGATTCTATGATGTAATAACTGTGTAGAATATCTTTTTGTATTTGACTCAGGGACCAAAGACACTTGCATTCCACATGTGGTCTACTAGGTTATTTCACCCATGGCCCCAAATCAGATATTCAGAACACTATGGTCTTTGAATCAGCAGCTGCGATTCTGAAATGGTGTAATGTCTTATAAGGAGAGACAAGTGAAATGTTGTCTCGAGTTTCTGGAATGAATTTGATGAAATGACAGAAATATTGACTGAAGAATAGCTGCTTGTGGAGGTGGATTTCTATCTTCTGAATGTTTTATGATAGAGGGCTAGACTGCAGACTCCATTTTTCATTTGCAGAGACAGCCTTTCCAGTCATGCTTATAAGTTCTCATCCCAACCAAACCAACCTCTTGGCCTCTCACTTGCAGCATGCATTTTGTTTCTCCAATCCTCTGCCAATCAATAGGATCTCAAAGGAGGCACACTACTCCAAACTATATCTTGTATCAGACCTACTTCATTCTTCCCCACTTTCAGTCACCGGCCTGCTCAATGAATACATATTTCAGAGGCATTTTCAGTATTCCTTTCTTCAGCCCATCATAAAAATGTTTTTTGCATACTACGACATTATTGCTGGTTTCATTCCCCATGGATTGCACAGGCAAGCACTGGACATTTCTGATCAAATCAGATGACTGGATTGTTTCCGAATGAGTTTACTTTTCCTTGTGTGATTAAAGCCGGTTGCAACGTTATGCATGTTTGAGAGATTCATTCCTTGGTATTTAAATTGTGATATTTGTGCAGGAAGTGATGCAGACCTATCTGGATGGAGTTTAGTAATGAGCTAAGCGAGGTTAATGAATCGCCTGATAGAGCTGATGTTCTAATTTAGAATTCCATGATTAATGGGTTTGCTGCTGTTGGGAAGATTAATAGGTCGACGGAGGAGGGCTGAATATGGAGTTGATCCCAATAGGTGCAGGCATACAGCATTACGGAAATTTATCTCTTCTTGGAATGATTGGTGATATTTGTGATGGGAAATTGATGCATGTTTCTGTGATTAAAAAGGGATGTGATTGGGGGATTTCTCCTGGAACTCTATAATATGTGTTCGTGAACAATTCTGCAAGCATGAAGATACAATAATGCTTTTTAAGTAGTCTTGTCTGATATAGTTAGTCTTGCCAGGTTCATTGACTGCATCGGTGCTTGGTGAAGGATTCATGGTCACATTATTGTGAATGACTTGTTGAAGATTGGACTGGACGGGCATTTCAGTGATATAATGTGCAATGCCGCAGTCATGGGCATGTATGCACAATGTGATCGTCAAAAGAGCTCACTTTGGATCATTTCAGTGATATAATTTGCAATACAGTCATGGGCATGTATGCACAATGTGATCGTCTAAAGAGGCTCACTTTGGATTTGATATGATGCGGAACAGAAATCCTGCATCATGGAACGTTATCATCTTGGGCATGTCCAGGGCATGCACGGCTTTTCAAACAAGGCCTGAGACTTGTTTTGTAGGTATGTCCAAGGCGGAACCCAAACCCAATGAGGTCACCTTTGTTGAAATCTTATCAGCCTGCAGCCATGCTGGTTATGTTGAACAAGGGCGTGAACTTTTTTCCCAGCATTTTGCCGAAGTAACGGTATTCTTAAAACCATAGAGATTTACAGGTTTACAGTTGTGTGATTGATACGCTTGGTCGAGCTAGGAAACTTGATGAGGCTAGTTCCCGCATCTGTGCTTAGTTAGGATTAATGCTATTGTACATCTTTAACAATCAGTAGACAGTTTAGTTGTACAACAGTTTTTCTCAACGTTCTAATGGTTGTTTGTTATTTCAGGTTTGTTGTGCTTTCTGGGTGCAAAGAGAAATTACTTTCTTTTACGTACTTTTTAGCATACGTGGTCAGTGAAAATACAACAAATTGGATGTAAGTTTCTTATAATTGAACAAAAGTCCACTTGTTTTCTCCTTAGCAGAATTGCACTTCATGCTCGTGAATCCATTCTTTTAATTTTTAGTTCTTTCTTTTTTTTTTTTACTGTCTTGCAACTTATATCCATGGCAAAGTTTTTATCTTTTCCTCTCTTTTTTTCCCTTTTTAAGAGCTATGAAAATCAGTGGGCTGCATTACTCCCAATGAGCATTGTGTTTACCTAGAAATGGCTAACTTAGTTGACGTTTAACTGACTGTAAAACTAGTTGAGTTTTTTTTTGTTTTTTTTTTTTTTGGAAAGTGACTATGTAAATTTGTATTACTTTCACTTCAAAACTAACTGTAAATGTGTATTACTTACACTGAATGGTGGGTTTATTTGTTCATGTTCTGTGAATCCTCTGTTGGATGTCTTTGAATTGGAAATAATTTATTCCTATTATTATGAAAGACAAGAATTACTTCTTTTTTTTTTTTTGAAAGACTAGAATTACTAATCAAAGTGGTTCACACTTCACTGTGTGGGTTCAGTAATGGAAGTCTGTAATGAAAAGGACAAATGATATCCAGTGTTTTGTTCCTCCAATTGGATATGGAAAGGGTGATGAATTTTGCTCAATGGAGATTTGATTTACTTATACCAGTTCAGGTAACTTTCAAAATCCTGCAAAATTACTGCCTGATTATACTGTGGTAAAAGGAGAGTAATAAATTAATGCAGCTCTCAAAAGGGGAAAAAAAAATATAAAAATAGACTTTTGCACAGGAGGGCAATTGTCTGCATCCCAATTATAAATAACCCCCAAACTCGAAACCCTAATCACCTCCGCCGTTTCCTCCACCATAAACTCTGCTGCCCTCACATCCATAGCTATGTAGATTTCTTTTTTTTTCTCATCGATGGAGCTTCAAATCTCTTTTTTTTCTGCACCAACTGGCATGACACTGGTGAGTTTTATTAACCCTTCTTCAATGGTCTTTCTGAATATGTTTTTTAATTTTTTTTTTTACCTTGATTTGTGATTCTGTAAGTATGAAGTTTGATTAGATTTATTGTTTAGATTTGCAATCTATGTTGTATTTTTCAAAAAAAATTTATTTGTTGCTTAGATAGATCAATTCATTTTGAATTTATATGCATTTCTTAGATCTGAGTTTTTTCTGTGTATTTGTGCACCTTGAAATGAGAATCTCATTTACATTACTTTTCTGTTGTCATGTTGGATTTAAGTGATGTAATCACTAAGGATCTGATAAAATTGGAACATAAAAATGGATTTATTTTTTCGATTTTGTTGTCGTCATACAATAGATATGAAAGTCATTGATTCTTACATGTATAAACCTTTGGAAGCTGTTAAAGTTAGTTGTAATTGTGTGTGGGTACTTCTTGTGACGTATTTGTACTTTTGATAGGAAACAGTTGAACAGCTTTGCCATTAAACATTTAAAGTAAGTTGTTTGTTGAGTTTTGGTATATTAGAAGCTAGATGCTTAATTTATTTGTTGTCCCAGGTGCGTACGGCAGATATGGTGTTTCCGGATCTGATGCTTCAGACAGAGGAAGATCCAAAAGTACAGATGTTTGATTTTGGGAATAGTGATCAGTTTGGTCCAGTTGGATTTTCCACTCCTCCATCAGCAGATGAAGCTGTAAGATTCAACAGCGTGACAAGATTCATGAAGGATCAGCACGCTAGCAAACCAAAGAAATTGGGAGCCATGGGAACCTTTTGTACTCGGTTCATTTCTGGATTTGGTAACACAACTTATGTGGACGGAAGGATCTAAGCAATTGGGGTAAGGGTTGTCGTCTTGAATTGTTATAATTAACATTGCATAATTAGGCAAAACAACTTTAGCCAAAGTAACATTATTGTGCGTGGTACGCCTGTGCATGACGACCGTAGGAACCACAGCTTTGGGTAAAAGACTATCATGGCAGAATGTTGTTATGAGCAATTCAGGATTAGGAAAGACAACTCTGGCTAAGATCCTTTTGTTTTGTTTTTTTGTTTAAATACGAATATTTATGCTCTAGGAGAGATTAGAGCATGCGCGTCTTGGTATCAGACCTGGAATCATGCTAGCTACTGACCACTCTAAACTGGAGTTATGGTAGCTGCTAATCATTCACAACCAGGATCAGTCCATAACGTTATTTATTTTTACTTCCACACGATTGCCACTATTTCTGGAGGGATTGCCACTATTTCTGGAGGGATGTCGTGGTGTGTGGATTGTTGCTAAGTAATTTGAAAGAGAAGTGTCTTAATGATTGACACTTTGTCTTTCTACAGTAGAATTGGACTGATCGCTGGGTGGGACAAGAAAATAGGTCTAGAACCAAGACTGATTGCTGGGTGGGACAATAAAATAGGTCTAGAACCCGTACTGATCGCTGGGTGGGACAAGAAAATAGGCGTAGAACCAGACTGATCACTGGGTAAGACGACCAAATAAGTTTAAAGTTGTATTGTGATGATAATAGTAAGGAATTCTGATTAAAGGGAAAAAAATTGACCACCCAATATGGATTTAGACATGAATATCACTTTTGGACGTGAGAAGGAATATGGAAGACGATTTCAGCTTGATTGTTTGGTCTTTTTGATCTGATGGTGAAATTCTATATTAAATATAGAAAATTAGTATGTCTTATTATATCAGTGATGATGGATGATGCTTTTTGGATGTGAATTGGGAAAGTTTGTTTGAAAGGACATTTATAAGATTTCATGGAAGTAATTTATGCAAGTTTTAAAGAAAAGAAAATTAATTACTAGATTGGTTTACATTTGTATGATATATTTAGGTATATCATCTATTATTTTACTCTATAAAAATGTGATTATGGAGTTATTAGATGGAAGAATATTTTTTCGTGAAAGTTGTAGTGTTTGTGCAATGTAATTTGGGAATGTAAATGTTGAAAATTGTAAAGCCTTATATACTTCGGGAAATCGTTATTGTAACTGGAGTTGTCTAGTATATTGTAAAAAAAAAAAATTATAACGCAAGAAGTGGACTGTATGTGGGATTTTGCTTCTTTTTTTTTCCCGCCTTCCTTTAAACTTTGGCATTTTTCTATCGTACTGAAAATAATATTTGTGGTTATTGATTTGATGGTGTAGTTGATTAAAAAGTAAATAAAGGAGTATAAAAAAAATGAGGAAATTTTGAAATCCAAAAACAAACTGAACAATGTGGAGGGTATTTTAAAAGGGATGGATTTTTAAAGCTACACTCTTTAGTACTCAAAGCCACCTAAAAAAAAATTGGATTGTTTTGCCCCTGTCATTTAAGACAGTAGGGAGAGAAAGAAATTGAGTAATTCAGAGGTAAAAAAAAAAAACTTAAAAAAATCCGAACCTGATAAGAAAATTGTTCCGGTTGAACCGGGGATGCATAACAGACGCATCCGGCCATTGAACCGGACCCATTCATTGCGCGTCCCCGGTTTAACCGAGATGCGTGTGTTGCGCGTTCAGGTGAAAAAAAATCCGATCCTGGCAAGAAAACCATCCCGGTTGAACCGAGGATGCGCAACAAACGCGTCCGGCCATTGAACCGGACGCGTTCATTGCGCGTTTCCGGTTTAACAGGGATGCGTGTGTTGCGCTTTCGATCCAGGTGAAATCAGACCGGACACGCAATACCTGCGTCCCGATTGAACCGGGGACGCGCAATAATTGCGTCCGGTTCAATGGCGGGACGCGTTTGTTGCACGTCTCCGGTTCAATCGTGACGCGTGTGTTGAGCGTCCGGCCATTGAATTCGCTCCAACCGGACGGGCCGGTCCGGTGAATAGTTCTTTTTATTTTTTTTAATTTTTTAATTTTAATTTCATGCATGTTATGTTAATTTAATTAAGTAGGAATATTATTATTTTTATTTTTTAATTAGTTATGTTAATTAATTGAATTTTATTTATTTATTGCATGTTATGTTAATTTAATTAAGTAGGAATATTATTAATTTATTTGTTAATTTAATTAGTTATGTTAAGTAATTTAATTAGTTGAATTTCGTTTATTTATTGTATGTTATGTAATTTAATTAAGTAGGAATATTATTAATTTAAATAGTTATGTTAAGTAATTTAATTAGTTGAATTTTATTTATTTATTGCATGTTATGTTAATTTAACTAAGTATGAATATTATTATTTTTATTTGTTAATTTAATTAGTTTTGTTAAATAATTTAATTAGTCGAATTTTATACAAAAAGAATTGAAAATCAAGAACTTATACAAAAGAATTTTATGAATATGCTTCTTTTCACAATCAAATAATATATTTTGTTCCGTGGTTTATAATCACTTATCTTGATAAATATATTTTCCTCCTTGAAAGAGAATATCATCTTGCAGATGGAGAAATTACAAAGGAATTTACCCTCCACAAAAAGAATTTGTTCTAACAAATGCAACTCATATAACTTTTTCTCGCTTTCAAAATTAGTTGAAAGTGAAGTTTTACCTTCTACTGTTTCTTTAGTAAATAAATTTATTCAAGAAAATAATTATACAAATTTATATGTAAAAATTTTAGGAGAACAAATTAGTTCTTTACATGTTAAAGTTGACAAATTATTTTCTCTCATAGAAAATCTTCAACAAACAGCTTAAACCAGCTTTGATTGAAAACAAAAATAAGGATATTAAAATAAAAATTTTATACAACCTCCTCCTATAGTAAAAGATTATAATCTTGAATCTCCACATGTATTAGAAAAATTATTGGAAGAAAAATTTAAAAATCTTAAATTATCCACTTTAGAATTTTCTCGAGAATATACGAAAGATTTTGATAAAATTCTACGAGATGAAATAAATCGTCTTTCTCATAAATCTAGACATAATAAATTTGCTAATAAACCATATATGAATCATTATTATTATCCTCGACCTTCGCACAAGATCTTCTTTATGAAGAACATCAAGAAACTACTAATAGTTATAGTAGTCGTTACGTTTATGAATGGAATTGTGATGGATTTATCGATAGGCAATTAACTAATATGGTGCATAGGATGTTAATGTACTCCTCAGTTGCAAAAGCAAATGGTAATATAGATCAGGCAATCGCAAAAATGATTGTTTGTGGTTTTACTAGTGTCCTTAAAGGATGGTGGGATAATTATTTAACCGAAAATGATAGACAAAAATTTATAATACAAGAAAATTGAGAATGAAGGAACATCTACACCCATTATGATGGAAGATGCAGTATATACTTTGATAGCATCTATATTAGAACATTTTTCTGGAAAATTTACCAATAATCAAGAAAATATTCGAACATTGTTAAATAATTTTAAGTGTAAAACACTTACTTCCTTTAGATGGTATAAGGATTCATTCTTATCAAGAGTCATGGAATTACCAGAAAGTAATAGTTCTTATTGGAAATCTAAATTTATAGATGGCTTACCAACTCTGTTTGCTGAACGAATAAGAAAAGTTCTTAGGAAAGATTTTCCTTATATTCCTTATGATGATTATACTTATGGTCATCTAATAGGTGTTTGCGCACAAGAAGGATTAGCTTTATGTAATGAAATAAAGTTAAATCAACAAATTAAACGACAACAATTATCAGAACGACGACAATTAGGTCAGTTCTGTGATCAATTTGCTATGGATATAGGACCAGCAAATAGGGATAAAAGAATGAAGAAAAAAAAAATTCCTTATATACCTAAAGGTAAAAGACGACGTAAAAGAACAAAAGAACAGAGAGAATTTAGAAAAACTAATAAAAAGAATAAAAGAGACATAACATGTTTTAAATGTGGTCAAAAGGGTCATATTGCTCCTAATTGTAAAAAGATTAATAGAATAAGACTATTAGAAATAGATGAACAACTTAAAGAACAAATATGCAAAGTAATAGAAGAATCAGATACTGAGTCTGAAACAGAAGAAACTAATAGCTCAGAAACTAATATGCTTGAAAATGATGAATTTTCATCTAGTTCTTCGGATGAATGTCTTCCATGTCAAAATAATAGTAATAATGATTGTTGTAAAAAAGATAATAATCTTTACAATATTATATCTCAATCTTTACAATAGTAATAATGAACTAATACATTCTATTTATAGACAAAGTTTCTAAGTACTATTTTACAAAGAATTATTAATTCTTGTCATTATTTGACATGCTTTTCTTCAGATTTGACTGCTTGTGGGGCCCACTTGTATTAAATTTCAAAAGTAGATTCCTACTTTTGTCACTTCATACTTTTTCTTTTCCTTTGTTTGATTGAGCTGTTTCTTGGATCTGCTGTAACAGATTTTTGATAAGTTCATCATGATCATCATCATTTTCTGATGGCTGAGATTCTCCGGCCAATATTGCAAAAGAATTTTCTTCATTGGAAGTAATACTCTTCATCGAAACATCTGATTTTTCTGAAATATTATCATTATCGAGATTTTTTAAATTTCTCATCAGATCTGCTTTAACTTCTTTCATATAGGCGGATATTATCTCTTCCTTATTAATTGCCCCCTGCTGAAGCTGAATTCGTTTTGTGATGTGTTTGAATGGACTTTCTTCATTGGGGTTTGCTTTGAGCTGTCCTTTGTCCTGAGTATATTCTTTGATTTTTTGGGCAATTTCGTCCAGCAAGTCCTGTCCTTCCATTCTTTTGGTATTGTGATTCATTTTTGTTAATTTATCCCAAAATTTGGTATAATATGTCTTATAAAAACACGGAATTTGAAATTCATTGAATCCAACCTCAGGAACCCATTTATAAATCCAGGGAATCGAAAATTCA